CGGTTTAATTTAATTCTGGTCCTCCTAATGCGCTGTCCCATTATTAGTAGGAGTAGGTAGAATAACGTTTTGATATCACGACGGGAGAGACCCAAGGTTTTCTGAAGTTAGGTGGAAAGAAATCGTGCACATATCTGCGTTGGCGGTGTTTTTATTGTTTATTAGTCTGTCAATTATTTTCTCATTTAATCAGTTACTTGCTTGTTCTATAAAATGACTGATAGTGGTGAAGAATTTTGGTCAGTGTTTCCCCAAATCCTATATAGTCTCTTTAAGTGTCTTAATTTGTCTACAACCCAACTATACTAATTTACTGTCATAGAGGAGTGACGAAACCAGAATATATTGAACTTTGTGAAGCTGAAATCAGAAAGTTTTTCATTGAAGATCAAAATATTTGACAGTTAATTTAATAGTTGTAAACAAATCGATTAATTGTCGCAGGTCTAGTGGCAACTAACAATTATATTCATTGTTGATTAATTTGTTAGTTCTTTTTTCTTGATGAATTCATTACTTGTTTCTTCTACAAGGTGTTAAAAAATTGTTTCCCAAAGCCAAAGATGACGTCTTTAAATGTGAATGTTTTCTGAAACTCAGAGATTCATTCTGCTTTGACAGCAACGTTAAGAAACAAAAAAATAATATCTTTCAGAAGTTGGAATTAGATAATTTTTACTTTTTTCATTCATCTGAAAGTACTCAAAGCAAAACCAAATGGATCAGTCAAACCAAAATCACTCAAAAAATAGCTGGTGGATAATTTTTTCGTTGACAACTAATCGATTAATGGTTGCAGTTGTAGCAGCAACTATCAATTATTTTTATTGTCGCTGAATCTGACGAATATTTTCTTGATTAACTGAAGTTTTTTGTTTGGTGCCAGCAAATGGTAAAATATGTTGATTTGTATTTCCTAAAGCCCAAAATGATGATTTCCGATTGATTTAATAGTTGGTAACTAATCAATTAATTGTATTTCTGATCTGCAAAAAATAAATAAAAAGTCGACATATTTGATACCAGCAAAAATCCAATATTGTATTTCCTGATAAGGATTTAGAGCTGCCACTAATGATGGCTGTTTTTGGTAATGATTAGCCTGCTGATAATTAATATATTGTTTGGTCTATAGATGTATAACTAGCATATTTTAAATGTCTATTTTTTTTAAAATTCCTCAACGTATTCTGTTCGTTATCCTAAAAAAATAACAAGAAAAATACTAAATATTCACACCAAAGATATTGGACCTACTGAATTTTTCTTCATTTTTAGCAGAAAAATAACTTAAACGAGCTAACACTAATCTGAATGTGTTTTTTATTAATTGCTTCAGCTCTAAAACAACACTTTCTCGTAGCAGCAGCTCAGTTATTTGCTTCTTTTGCTGTGTCACACTTTGTGCTCGAATTCACTTTTCCGTTCCATGTTTTTATTCAAATGACTTTCAATTTTGTGTATTTTTGTTGCTCAGCCTCCCGTCCTGACATTGTTGGAGATAGACGACACTTGTTGGATCTGGGCCTCTCAGAAACGGGCCAACTATTCTGTGAATGGAGTCGAGGGAAACCCCCGTAGTTTCAGTGCGGTGACTCACAGCTCCTGGTGTCCTGTGGAATTTGGTCAAGTGCCTATTTGCGGTCGAAAGGATCTATCTCATAACCTACTTCTGCTTTGATATATATTTTTTCCAAGTGGAGTTTATGCTTGTGGCTTATTTATAACTTTTCGGTCTTGTGAGCGTGCATCAAAACAGAAATGACGTACAGAAACAAAACGAGGCCAAGCTGCGGCTTCACATTTTCCAGCTCCTCTTGTTTTAAAACGCACTGTTAATGAATCAAAGCAGATCTGGGGTCTTTTACATCCCCCCCCCCTCCACCCTCCAAGAGACACTTTCACCCTCCTCCTTTTTTTTTTCTCCGATTGTTGTTCTATCTCAAAACAAATGAACTCAAACTTGAGACTTGAGGGGACATCCTGCTCGTCGCTGCATCTCTGTTCAGTCAGAGAACAAGAATGCACGAAGCCCGGTCTGCGTTGACCTTTTAACTTTCCTCTCACATTCCTCAATCCGGGGGCAATGTTTTGTCATCATAGCGCTCCACTTTACTATATGCCAGGGTAATTCCATCAGTAGCATGTGAACAGGCAGGGCTTTTGTGAGTCGAGAGTAAATGTGAGGCTCTCTTTTCTATCCACCTCTCTCCTCGTGTTCTCTCCCACAGCTTTTTTTTTTCCTCTCTCTCTCTCTCTCTCTCTCTCTCTCTTCCTCCCCCTCTAAGGCTGCTTTGGGTGCTATAATAGTATCTCAACTGACAGCATTCCTGCGAGAGGGCACGGCCCGAATGACGACAACTTTTTGGGAGGCTGGAGGGTAGTCGGGGGGTGTTCTTCTCTTTCCACTTGCAGACCTGATGCAGCCACACCTTCCCCGCTGTCTGCACCTACAAACCACACCTTCTGTCAGGCTGGTTCCACCCTCAGGACTCCCACTGCTGAGCAAACCTGGCTGCTGACTTCATAAATCAGCAGAAGAAAGCTTTAAATAGTTTTTTTTTT